ATAAATAACTATGTTTAATTAGTTAATAAACAAAAGAAAATTAGGACAAAATTAAACATTAATTAAAATATTTCTCCTTATTTCCGACAAAGACGCAACAATGTCTTACATTGTTATCCAATTGGATACGTGAGCAGCGTATCGTGCATAACGGCCACACGCTTTAAACACATTTACTGTGTTGAGTTTCTGCCGTGAGAGCTTTCAAATTCTTGATATTCTTGTTGCTGCTGATCGGTGACCAAAATCTGCTGCTGGAGCCTAATTGGAAATTAGTCGCGCGTGAGAAGTCAACTGCAGTAGTTGTGCGTGGGAAGACCTAGAAGCAGTGTCCAGTTTCCAGTGTTGATTGAATTTAGTTCTTACACTTACATACATACATAAAGATCAAAGATGATGAACAGCCTGAAGAAGATGCCCATCCGTATGGTAAGATTACTGCCACGACCCTTCGATATCCCAACCAAATTTTAACTTGATTTATTTCCATTGCCTTTTTCTATAGCTGGCCAATGCAGCACGTCAGCAATCCGCAGCCATGTCCTCGGCGACCGGCCTCCCCCCTGCACTAACATTCCTCACCGACGATGAGAAAATGATGAAGGAAACAGGTGAGTCCTTTGAATAGATCAGTAGAGTATAATATTTATGAATATAGACTACTGCCTTCACCTGCCTTTCTTAAGCAACTTCGTAGTGTGGTGCATAAAATGATTTTAAGATAATTCTTTTTTTTTTTTTGTAGTCAACATCGGTTTTTGTTACGTAATTTAATCAACGCATGGTTGTTGTTGTTGTAGTTTCTTATTTATTATTATAATACATATTTAGGTGTAGCTAGATTTTCGGTTCGTTTAATGCATTTTATTGGATTTTAATTTCATATATTTTGTGCACATATGTATGTGTGTGTGCTGATAAAAAAAACTGTACATGCTTAGACATTGCGGCGAGGCAGAGGAAAATCTATTGAGTAAAAGAGATAGAAACAGAGGGGGCGGGGATGTTCTAGCTGCGGTAGATAAGCTCATTCTCGTTGTAATGAAAAAATGCGAATGAAATCTAATTCACACTTGTAACATTTTTATATGTACATACATATATATTAATGTAATTATATATACATATATTATATAGGTATATATGTATATATGTACATTTTTTTTGCAACGTTTGCTTGCCATGCGGCGTTTATTTAAATTAATCAATTTAGCTCAATTAAGCTGCAGAAATTATATAACTTTCAATTGCTGAAGGAAGGATATTTGTATCCTTGGACATAAGATTCATGTATAGTATATGCGCTTAATTTACATAATTAAACGTGGCAGCCAATATAATATATATATACTATATATATACTATATACTATACTATACATATATATGTACACCTTTTTATAAATATAT